CCGCCGCCGCCGCCGCCCACACATCCGGCAGGAAAGGCGGCCCGAACCCGCTGCCGCTAACGCCAACAACACCGGCGACACCGCTCGCCCCGGGGCCCGCCGCCCCGGCGCCTGCCGTCGCCGTCGCCGCCTCCTCAGTTGGACTCTCCGCCATCGCTGCTTCGCTTCCGGGACTGCTCGGCAGCACGTCCGCCGACCAGAGCGGCCGCTGCTCCCACCCGCTCCCGCACCACCGAGAGCCGGGCCAGAGTGTCCCCACCCTCGGCTTCCACAGCCCGGGCGGCGCTGGCTCCGCCCACCCCCGCCCGACCAGCGAGAGGCGTTCTTGCAAGAGCGTCCACCCACGGTCCTCCAGGGCGAGAGGGGGCGGGAACTAGCCGGCGAAGCCAGGGCCCTGGGCCCGCGTTGGCCCCCGCTTTGCGGGAGGAGGCTCTGAAGCGTGCGGGGTAGCCGAGGTGCGGCTGAGAGCCCAGTGCCGTGCAATATTTTATTTTCAAGTGTGGCAAGGAGAGGAAGGAAGGATTATATACCCACCCTTAACGAGAGAGACCCTCCTCAGTCATGTCCAAGGGATAGGATTGGGGATCGAGCTTCCCATTTGGGGGAGGTTCTGAACAGATGAGTCGACTTGCTCAGGGCTCTTTCCTGTCTGAAAACGTCTGTAATTTATTTTTGTTCCCCGCACCGTCACCCACGGAGGGCAGGCTGCCATTGCCCCCTGCCTGCAACAGGACCAAGAGGAAGGAATCAGAACCTGCGAGTGAAAAACGACCTCATTTTAGAGTTTATTCAATATACATTTATGAAGGGGCTACTAAATGCCAGGCACTGTTGCTAGGCGTTGCCATAGGGATAATGAAACAGACCTAGAGAAGCTTGGTAAAAGGAAGAAAATCAGGCCTCCTGACTCCAAGCTCGGTCTTTTTTCTTCCCACAAGTCCTTGAATATACAGGAATCAAGGGGCAGTGCGTTTAAATCTTGGGAGGATTCCTCAGGGCTTTCCTGGGATTTGTAAGGTGATATAGCATACTATGGACTAAGAAAAACAGAAGCCTTCTAAAAAAGGCTTTCCCTTTTCTTTCTAGCAAGAACACAGGCTCATAATCTTGTCCGGAAACTCTTGACCAGATGCATTTCAGAATTGAGAGTAACACTCCCATAAGGTCTGGGGCAGCTCCCAGCAACCCAACATTGATATTTCGACAGCAAAGTGTATGAATATTCATGCTAATTTGGGTACATTTATGAATATTCAAACTACGTCAAATAACCTCACTCTGTGTTATATTTTGCTGCCCAAACTGGTTTTTAGAAGAAAAGTCCATTTTTCACTGCTTCCTGAATTTTCCAATAAGGGACCATGGACTTGAATGGGTAATAGCCAACACTTATTGAGGCTAAAAATTTGTTTCTTTAGCTGACATTCATTGAGTGCTTAATATGTGCCAAACACTTTGTATACGTTGTCTTATTTATTCCTTTCAACGACCCTATTATTAGTCCATTCTGACAGATGGAAAAACGGAAGCTAACCCGGGTCACACTGAGTGCAAGCAACATCTGGGGCTGTAAGCCAAATCTGTCTGACTCCAGAGAAAAAGTTCTGACCACTGTGTGATACTGTCACAGCCTGGAGCTCTCCCACACTTACCGAATTTTACTTCATGTGGTCCTTCATTACCTGTTGCTCCCAACCCCTATCCCACAACACACAGGCACACACAGACGCACACACAGACACACACACACACACACTTGGGGCTCTTGAGCATGTACTTTCTGTGAATCCAGCAGAGGGCCTGATACAGTTGAGGTGCTTAACATGAAGTAAAATGAATCAACACAAGGTTTTATATAGATTTCATGTTTTGTTGCTATAGCGTTCTATCACTCTATAATGAGGATACCAGAATATCAGTGAAAGGATACACAAAAAACTGGTAATAGTGGTTGCCTCTGGATGGTTTGATCGCTGACAAGGTGGACCAAAGGGTGTGTATGTATGTGTACCTTTTTAATATTGTACTGTGCATCTATTGCCTATTCAGAGTAGGTTATATTCATTTTTAAAGGACTCTGGAATTTTGTTTGGGTATTATTTATTTAGTAAGGTGGTCAAAAGTCAATTCACTGATAACCTCACACAAAAAACACTGTTCCATTGCTCCTCCATGGCTCTAGTCTGCAGAGGCCCAAAGATGGCCCATGGGGGAGAGGAATCCTCCGTGTGGTCCTCCCCTTACTACTGGACTATTGTTTTCAGCGGACATAAAACACTTACCTTGGATCCAGAAGAGTTTCCAGCTTTTGATCTGTACCACTCTACAAATAGCCTCTTTGAGCCTATTTCTGCATCCATAGAATGGTGCTAATTCTTACCTCTTAGGGTTTTTCTGAGGATTAAGTGTGACAATTCCACAAGTGCTTTGTAGAGTGGCAAGCACTGTCCAAATAATTGGCATCCCACTTGCCCATGTACTGTCTCTCCTCCAGGCCTTTGCTCTTACTTTCTCTACCTGGAATACTCTTTCCCTCTACTCCACCAGGGGAAATCCTAGTTATTGAAACTCTGAGCCTCTATTCCTCATCAGTAATATTGGTAAAACGGAAGTAGCTATAAAGAAGAGCTAATGTGGGGCGCCTGGGTGGCTCAGTCGGTTAAGCGGCCAGCTCTTGATTTTGGCTCAGGTCATGATCTTGGGGTCCTGGGATCGAGCCCCACGTCACGCTCCACACTCAGCGGGAGGTCTTCTTCAGCATTCTTCCTCCCTTTCCCTCCGCCCCTCCCCCCAACTCACGTGCTCTCTCTAAAGTAAATAAATGAATCTTTTTAAAAAAGAGAGATATGGGGCGCCTGGGTGGCTCAGTTGGTTAAGCGACTGCCTTCGGCTCAGGTCATGATCCTGGAGTCCCTGGATCGAGTCCCGCATCGGGCTCCCTG